GCATCTCTAACCTGGCATTGAACAGGTTAGAATATCTTGAAACTACCATGCTATACCATTCAAGTGAATGACTTATGCACATCAAGGTTAACTGCTCTTAAGTTAAATTGTATGAGGCTTTTTAGAAGAATAACTCTTTATATGGGTTTTTCTGTTGATTCAATTTCTAAATAACTGTTGTCTAATTTTCCTTTCTTTTTTTTTAACAATAAACATAAAGAACTTTTAAAAGAAAATTTTCATTTATGCTGAAGTTATTAATAATTTTTGAGTAGTTAAAAAAAAAAAAAAAAAAAAAGTTCAAGGACTTTGGTGATTCAAACACTTTAGTTTTTATAAAAAAAAAAAAAAAAAAAGTTTCTCTCTCTAATATATATATATATATATATATATATATATATATATATATATAATTTTTTTTTTGGGATGGAAGAGTTAGGTTGTTAGCCATAACTTAGTCCTTTTTGATTTACAGTCAGTATACACAAGGATATCAAATGTGGGCACTTTACTAACCAAATTACTCTTCTCTATATAAGAAACCAATTCCTTTTTTTTTTTTTTTTTACTCCTAATAGTATTTAAACTTAGAATAAAAACATTACCTCTTGAGTCTCAGGACTTAGATAAAGTAAATATATGAGGCTGTAACAGAAAATTACCAAACTGTTCTTGTGATGATAAAGTTCAGCAGAAATGGGTATGCACTTAGCACTCATTCGCCTACTGAGTCAATATGAAGCCTATTGACAGATTATCTACTTTAAGCTCAATTATTATGTAAAGTTTCAGTAGATCAATATACTCCTGAGGAAGTCCAGAAGGCACAGTGGCCGAAACGTTGTGATAATAATTTATAAAGTTTTAAAATGTTTGTGTTGGAATGGCTCTACAACCTTTATGATGCCTGATAAATCCAAGCAGTATGCCTGCATCAAATAACCTAGTAAGTTAAAGCATCGGTTTGTGAATTTGGTAACACAGTGGCTGTGAGTTCAATCCCTGGGTTGGGCAATGTGTACTTGGACTCGGTGGAAATGAGCAAGCATTAACTGAGCAGTTCTATAAATAAAAACTAGACAATATCCCCAGACATGGGGAGTGGAACAAGAACAGTCTACCCTGTAGATTAAATAAAGTGTTCAATTCAGAAGTCCCCATAGGTTACCCAGATCAATATACACCTGAGGAAGGCCGGAAGGCACAATGGCCGAAATGTTCTGATAACAATAACAACAGCCTGAATATGAATAGTGTAAATAGTGTTAATCTATTGTTATTAGGGGTATTCAGTCAATGTTTATCATGATACTGTTGTCTATTCCTGTAAATGTCTCTAATAGGACTGTAATGACATCAAGTAATGTGTAGCTATGGTTCTAATAGGAGCCAAAGTACAAATAAACTTGGTATCCCAAATGGCCACCACCCTAAAAGGTTTCCAAATTTCCTGAAATTGACCCACAGTTGGATGCAGAAGTATCTTTCTCAAAGACATCACTGCAAAATGAAATTTGTCCCAACCTAAATTTGCTTTGTAAATTTTATCCTCCATTAACCATGATGTCATCCTCATCTCCATATATGGCTGTTAATTATTGATTGATTGATTGATGAATATAATGTATTTTGTATATCTTTGAATTATTTAATCAATAATTGTGTTGAGCAATTTAATCTAATTTTTTTTTTTTTTTTTATAAAAATCTTTCTAATAAGCAATTAATATTTTAAGGTGACAGTTTTGAATCCATTTACAGAACTTGTAAGCAACAGATTTTGTTTATTGCTTTTTGATTTCAATAAGAACATATTATTTAATCATTTTTATATATATATATATATATATATATATATATATATATATATAGAATTATTCAAGTAAATAAACTAAGCATAGTTGTATATGAAGCTATTGTTCACTTAAGTTGAAATAAACTTTAGCTATTGTCTTTTATATATATATATATATATATATAATCTTCCACTTGTATTGGGTTTGATGGGCAGATGAAGACAGTGGTCAATGGGGTGATGGGTCACCTCTGAGATGGACAGACCCCGAAACTTGATTATCCTCCTGCTAGTACACCTGCACCTAATGATTATAGGCTTCAGTTGGCATTCCTGTAAGGCATCTGAACCATTTAAATGCCTGGTGCTGGAAATATTTGTAGATGTGTATTGTTCCGACAATTTCTCTGATCTTTTCTTTTTTTCATCAGATCCCTCCTTGTCTTGCAGGTTCTTTGGTCATCATAAATTTAGAGAACGGTTTAGTTATTATCAAAGAAATGCTAATTATATTGTGATTTGATGAAAAAAGAATAACTGATGCTTGACTTGTGCCTTTCTGTTCTTTTTTTTCCTTAATTGGCTTCTTTGTTTCTTTCTTGTGTCTTTTGGGACAATAACCTAATGGATTAAAATATTGGTTCATAAATGTGTAGGCATATTAATTGTGAGTTCAATCTCTGGGCAAGGCGGTGTGTACTTGGACTCTGAAAACTGGGTAAGCAATAATGGAACAGTACTAAAATAAGAACTAGTTGCCATGTCCCTAAACATGGCAGTGGAACGAGAACAATCTCCCACCTTATATTAAATAGAGTTCAGTTTGAAATTCCTTGTAGGTTATTGAGATTGACATACACCTGATGAAGGCCAGACAGTACAATGGCTGAAACCTAATAACAAAGATGAGGACAATAGTCCACATGTAAATAATCTACATAACATTTTTGTTGTTGGCCTTTATGCAAAATATTAAGGATCCATTGAATCAAGTCAATTATTCATTTTTTCTCTGTAAAACTTTAATGAAGCATTTATTGCCAGTGTTGCTTGTGAAAAACAATAGGTTTGATCATTGTCTCTGTTTTCTATGTATAAAGTAGGTAAAAATGGAGTCTGGAAACTAATGTTGAATTTAAACATAGGTTGCAAATATTCACTTGTTCTCAGATTTAAAAATAATAACAGACTTTCTCTTTATAAATAACAAAAATCTATATAAAATGTGTGTGTCTGTAATATATATATATATATATATATATATATATGGCAAAACAATAGATGTGTCTTGTGGTGATAAACATTTTAGCCGGGCTTTTGCATTAAAATGCATAATGTTTGTATCACCTGATTAGAAATTCTCTGACATTTTTATTTTTTATTTTGTAATTACTAAGTTTGTGACAAAAACATATCTAAAATGATGACTTAAGAAACAACCTCCTTTGGAAATTTTAATAAAATTTTAATAATAATAGAAATCAATAAAAAAATTAATAGAATTTTTGTCAAGAAAGTGCTCAATAGAAAACCAGAGTGATAAGAGTCCATAAATTATCAAAAGATAAGTCAATTGAACTTTTATTAATTGACTAAAATTTTATGTATTTTGTGTGTGTGTTATTTCCTAGCCAGGAAAATAATTTTTTTTTTTTTTTCTTACTATAAGAAAAGTAAACTTTTTCATCAGAGCAGTGATGATGCTTTTTTATTTATGAATATTAATCTTTTCTCATTAAACAATGATCAACTTTTACCGTTACACCCAAGAATGTGTACAGATCTTGAGAGTGTAGTGGTGGTGGTGGTGACGTGTAGAATAGATGCTATCATTCAAAATAAGCAATGCAGTTATGAAGTCATTAAAAGTACTCAGCTGTCCTTTTGGTTAAGATAGGATCATTAGATGTTTAGTAGTTAAGTCTGAATCATTATCCTGGGGCAAATACTTTTCCACCCAAAGCTTGATGAGTGAAATGTTTCATAAACTAGAGGCAGGTTATCATCATCATGACTGCTACTACCACCATCATCATCACTGTCATTACCATCACAACTTTGACTTTCTCAAGTTTGAGACTTGTGAAATTCAAGTTCTTTCTACATTTTAACATTACAGTAAATTTTATTCAATCTTTTCTTTTCAATACATTTTTTCTTTTTTTTGTAAGATTTGTATAAGTGCAAGATAAAAATAGAAAAAATACATATTTTTCTCTTAATGTTATTTGAAAAATTAGTATGTCAAATAAATTATATAAAATGCCTGCTTTTTGATAGGTTTTTCTTCTCATATTCAGGTTGTCTTACCTATCTACTTATTTAAAAACATTTACTGAGCTATTGACCAAATACAACTAACCTAATCTTAGTGATACTGTTTAATTTTTTTTATTGCAACTAAAATGCACAACACGTGTAGATGTGTTGCATATTGATAAATATTTTTAAGCTTAGTCTGGTACAAGGCCAATATTGGGGTGGGGAGAAAGCTGTTTCACCAAACTTTCAAATGAAAAGTGTTTGCTTGTTTGCCTTAAAAAAAAAAAAAATCAATATTTAAAATTGACATTTTATCCAGTTTCAAACCATTAATATAAGATTTGACTACAAATAGTGAATTAGGATGTTTCAAAGAACAAAACTATATTTTTAATAATTACTATTAGTAAATTTAAAAACTTAGTAGTGATGAACTTTTTTCAAAGTATTTCAATCTGTGGTGGGGGGGATATGGAAATTTGCAATCATCTCAGCTGGAAGGCAGACTTTAAGTTGTGATATCTCTGAAAGATGAAACTTTTTTGCAGTTAACTGATTTAAATTACATTTATGCAATCATCAGCTAAATACATTTTTTTTTTTTTTTTTTTTTTTTACTGCATTTAGTTGAACTTATGCAAAAACAGTGTCCACCACTTTCATGATAAATGATTCTGTGTGCATGCACAAGTATTTACTAAGCTTAATCCATTCATATACACTGTCCAATTTTGGGGACAGTGACCATTAATAGGTTATTGGTAGAATAATTAATACCATATTTTTACAAAACCTATAATTTATACTGGATTTATTGGTAACCTATAATTAAAAAAGGATTTTTATCTTAATTTTGATAATTAATATGGGATTTTACAGTGGGCTTTAATGGAGTAAGTTGAAACAGTACAGGACCAAATAGTGGTAAGGGGTAGACAGGAAGAATGTGCTGCACCGAGCTGTGAGGGACTGCCTTTAGAAAATCACTATTCAAAACATTGATTCCTATTAAAGCTTCAAATATCTTACATAGACACTGCAACCACCTCAACCAATGTATTCACACACACGCACACACAGTATCTGTGTCCTTGAACACAGTAAATTTTACAAGCATAGATTTGATTCATCTACCTTGCTCATGAACTCAAGCCATGACTACATTGTAAAAGATCAACATGTTTACAAGATAAACCATGGGATTTACTGTTTGTGTGTGTGTTGTAAATAATCTTGATACATTAGACATCTGCTAGATCATCAGTAATGTTGGATCAGCCTTTATTTGACTGGGTTATGATTTTTAAACTGATGGCAGAAATTGATATGATTTTAGTATTATTTAAAATAGTTTGGAAGAAATCTTTACAGTGCAGTGTTTTTCTTATTCAAAATTTCTAATGAAGAATTTTATAAAAATTAGTAAAATTAAGACAAACACTTCTGGAAAACATTAAAATGTAGTTTTTACTACTCGGGTCTGTAATTTATTTTGATACAAGAAATAGTTATAGATATTTGCAGACTGTGCATAAGTTTGTATATGCTATCACAGGAATAAAATTCATATAAGTTTGTAACTAGTAGATATTTATAAAAATTTGTATGTGAGTGTAAATACTATGTAAGCTACTATTTATTCTGGATCTTTTCTAAGTCTTCTTTCTCATTTACAGTTAGATAAACTCGTTAGAGCTTCACAAGTTAAATACTGATGCTATAGCTGGTCATCTGTTAGTTTGAAGATGTTTGCTTTAGCTTTAAAAAAAGAAAAGAAAAGACTTTAGTGTACATGTTGTGATCTTCTCAACAGCCTTGGCTTGAAATCAATAAAATTAAGAAATCTACTTTCTTTTTAATCTTCCCCTCTGGTCTGTTTTAGTCTTCTCTCTCTATCCCAATTGGTGTTTTTTTTTTTCTCCCCCCAATACTCAGTTTGTGTCTGTCTTCCCCACTCCACAACCTTTAGTCATTTTTTCTTTTCACCTCATTTTTTTTTTTTTTTTCTACCCCTCAGGTTTCTTGTCCTTCTTCTTCCCCCATCCCACTCAGTAGTTTTACTTTTCCACCCCCTTCAGATCTGTTACTTTTTTTTTGCACTCACTACTGTTCAGATCTGTCACTTTCCTGCACCCCCCCACTGTTAACATATATGAATTTTCTACCTCTCCACACTCTGGTCTGTCACTTGTTCCTTTCCACACCATGCTCTGGTCTGTCACTGGTCCCCAACAAACACCACCACCACACTCTGGTCTGTCACTTATTTTCCCTCCATGCTCTCCTCCCTCCCCACACTCTGCTCTGTCACTCATTCCTCCCCACCAGCGCTTTGGCCTGTCACTCGTTCTTGTTTGCGCCCCCCAATCTGGCCAGTCACTCGTTCGTGTTTGCGTTCCCCCCCAATCTGGCCTGTCACTCCGCCCCCCCCCCGTCTGGCCCCCCCCAATCTGGCCTGTCACTCGTTCGCCCCCCCCAATCTGGCCTGCCTGTCATCTCTGTTCGTTCCCCCCCAATCTGGCCTGTCACTCGTTCGTTGCCCCCCCAATCTGGCCTGTCACTCGTTCGCCCCCCCATCTGGCCTGTCACTCGTTCGTTTCCCCCCCCCATCTGGCCTGTCACTCGTTCTGTTTGCCCCCCAATCTGGCCTGTCACTCGTTCGTGTTTGCCCCCCCCATCTGGCCTGTCACTCGTTCGTGTTTGCCCCCCCCATCTGGCCTGTCACTCGTTCGTGTTTGCCCCCCCCATCTGGCCTGTCACTCGTTCGTGTTTGCCCCCCCATCTGGCCTGTCACTCGTTCGTGTTTGCCCCCCCCCCATCTGGCCTGTCACTCGTTCGTGTTTGCCCCCCCCCCATCTGGCCTGTCACTCGTTTATCATTACCCCCCCAAATTTGATCTGTCACTCGTTCATCATTGCCCACCCCAATTCCCCCCCCCCAAATTTGGTCTGTCACTCGTTCATCATTGCCCACCCCCAATTCCCACCCCCCCAAATTTGGTCTGTCACTCGTTCATCATTGCCCCCCCCCAAATTTGGTCTGTCACTCGTTCATCATTGCCCCCCCCAAATTTGGTCTGTCAACGTTCATCATTGCCTCCCCCCAAATTTGGTCTGTCACTCGTTCATCATTGCCTCCCCCAAATTTGGTCTGTCACTCGTTCATCATCCCCCCCCAATTTGGTCTGTCACTCATTGGTCAAAACCCCTCCCCGCTTGCCTTGTCTGTCACTTTTCTCCCCTTCTACTCTGTCCCGTTTTCTTTTTCGCTATTTTTTTTTTTTTTTTTTTGTAATCCACTCCAACTCTGGTTTAAGACTTTGTATTGCCCCTCCCTCCCTCTCTGTCCTTCCTCAACTCGTTCTGCTTTGTCCTTTTTTTTATCGCCTCCCCTTCTCATATTTTCTTTTTTTTTTTTTCATCTTGCTCTGGTTTGTCATTTTTTCCCTGAAAGCCCCTCTCCTCCCTTGCGTGCCCCCACCCCGTTCTGGTCTATACGTTCCTCGCCCCCTTGATCTGTCTTTTTTTCCTCTCTCTCTCTCTTTCCCTTTTTCCTTTCCTTCTCCGCTATGATGTCTTCTTTTCGTTTTCCCGTACTCTATCACCCACTCCTCCTCTTGGACCATCTCTCTCATCAAAATCATCCGCGCCTCATCATCCATGACAACCGGTTAGTACTTTCACTGTTACTGCAAGTAGTAACCATTACTACAACTACTGCTGCTACAACTGCTCATTCCACGCTGTTGCTGTTTTCTCTCTCTCTCTCTCTCTCTTTCTTTCTCTCTCGCAGAAGCAGGCGAGCAAGCAGGCAGTTTGGGGGTTTGTTTATCATGTAGACCGGGCGTTGGAGATATTCCTCAATATTTATGTTTTCAATGCAAGCTCGCATCTATCTGGACACACTATACGGGGGCGGCACGAGAAAGGTGGCAGTAATTCTGAAAAAATTCACGAAGACCTTCTTTCTGACAATTTCCTTGTATCTGTAACATTTGAACAATATTTTAACAGTTAAAACATCTTCAACAAACTATCTGTCGAATTTCTTTTTAAACTTAAAAAAAGGGACAAGCATGATAAAAAAACATTAACAAAGTGTATAGGTTTTGTTTGTTATTTTTTGTTTTTTATGATGTGACAATCATGAATAATGGAGACAAGAACATGTCATGTTCAATAGATTCTGAGACTGAATCCATGGTATTGGTAATTTAGTTTAATATCGCGGCACATGTGCTTTTTTGTCTTTGAGAGCGGATATTACATTGGGGAAAAAAAACGTGTAAGAAGAAGTTGTCGGTCGGCAAATGGATTGTCTAAGCCTGGAATTCTGTTGGAGAAGGGTCCATAGGGCCTTGCCTGTGTCAGCTGCTAATACCAAAAGGCATTCTGTTTATCCGAAGGATTACGTAAATTCGAGGAACTTTTACCAAATGGTCGCTCATGTGACTATGAACGGAAAAGATCAAAATCCGGTCCAGAGAATCTAAATCAGGCAAGACACAAAAAAACATGCTTCTTCTTGTTACCATTTTTTTTTTAATTTTTTTTTTTCTTTTTTTTTTTTTTTTTTTTTTTTTTTTTTAATTTTTAAATTTTCTAAATTATAGTTTTTTAAATTGCTAACAGTTATTGTTTTCTCTTTCTTTTATTCTCGAAAAAAAAACTTAGGAATATTTTGTTGTATTTTATTTTAAGTTTCTGAAATTTTATTTAAGTTGTCCGTCAGGGCAGAAATTTCACTTGCCATTCGTAACAGACTTTAAAAAAAAAAAGATTCGTTAAAAAACTTTATTTCATTTAAGATTTCAAACTGACAAAAAAATAAAAATGTTTCCCTTTTTTTGGTGGGGATTTGTTTGTCATTTAAAAAAAATATACATCAATTGATCCAATCGATTTTTTAATTTTCATTTGATCCATTTTTTTTTTTTTTATAAGTTAACATTTTTGGTTATCACAGCATTTTTTAAAATTTTTCATTTTCCTTTTTTTTTTAATTGTTTTATGAGATGAAAATAATAAATTGTTTTTCTTCTAGAATAAACTATCATTTTGTTCAAGGGTTATTTTTCAAATACTGCCGATCCATGCAAATTATGTGAAATGTTAAATTTTTCTGAAAATGTTTTCTTGTATCTCTACTGAATGAAAGACTAAAAATTTCAACTATTTTCTGTCGTCTTACAAATTCTTCTTATTCGATTTTTTGGTTTTCCTACAAAACAAATTCTGATTTTTCTTCATTTTTTAGAGCAGTTTTTTATGGACCACGTATATTTGTCATACTCATTTCTATTTTGAAAAGATTTCTTTCTTTATGACAATGAATGACAATTAAAATAAGACAAACCAACACAAACATTGTCACATCGCGTGTAAGTAAAAAAAGAAAAGAAAAGAAAAAACTCCAAGAAGAAAGAAATCGACTGATAAAAATGGACTTTTCTAATTGAGATTTTGAATGTTGTAAAAATGATGGACTTTTTTTTTTCTCTTTGACTTTTTGTCTGTTTCTTCTTAATTACATCTTCTTATTCACACGGTAGCTTCCTTTCTTTTCTTGATGACTGGAAAAGCCAAACCAATTCGATCCTGTTCTTCATTCGGTAAATAATGTTCCTTGAATTGATTCAAGTCAGCTTCTTCAGACTTCATCTGTTATGACATAACGAAACAATTTAATTACAAAATGTCACTTCTTTTTTCAGTGATGCTCAGTTAAATTTTTCCTTTAATAAATCATTGAGAATTAAATAGAAAGATAAAAATGTTTTCCTTTTTTCTTTTTTTTTACTTTTTAAAGTACATTGCTACCATGTTGTAGTCAGTCTTACTCTTCTTCATCTTCTTCTTACCGAATCCGAAAGAATTCTTCTTCATAAAAGCATTCATCGAAATATGATTTCATTCTCAGAAAAGTCTTGAAAATTGTCTCTGTTCTTTTATCATTATTATTTTTATTTCATTAAAAGACGATATTTAAGTTAAGTAAAACAACACATCATTCATTCCCCCCCCCTCTCTCTCTTTATTCGTTCTTCCATATACTTTGTCTTTCTCTCTTTCTTTCGATTTTTCTCTTTTTCTCCTATTGTTTGTTTTTCTTTTTTTTTTCTCTCATATTCCTTCTTCCTGTTATATCTCAATTGTTGTAAACATTCTTTTGCGTGCGTGCTTGTATTTGGTGTGTGTGTGTGGGGGGGGGGTATATACACACACACACACACACACACACTGTCTGTATCGCTGTTATGTATCTTTTAAATTTGTATTATTGTTAAAAAGAAAAATATTTATTCACATAAGTAAGTAACTAACAATTAATTTGAAAGTTGTTTACTTCTTTCTTAGAACAATAACCATAATTCTTTTTTTTCCTTTTCCTGGAAATTATCGAACTTAAAATAATGTCTATTATTCTTCTTGTGTAGTAAGTTGAAGTGAAGTTGAATGAGTCTTCTTGATTAGGGATATATATATATTTAAATTTGTGCTGGGTGCTGTCGTCCAGTTTGGGCCTGGGCAACTATAGTGAAACTTCATTTACTAAGGAGTCAAGGACTTATTCAGTAAAAAATAAAAAGAATTATTTTTTTCTTAGACTATGCTCTGAGGATCACTTCTCGTTAAAACTTAATTTACTATTTGAATTGTAATTGAATTCCTTAAGGTATTTGAATAGTGACTAAAATTCTGAAGTGAAAAATTACAAAACTAATTCTCCTGCTACTATGTTTTTCTCACTCACTGTAGTCAACAATGAAGATAAGGAAGTAGTAAACTAAAAAAATGATTCTGTCCAAAACTTGTTTTGTTACTGACACTTTTAAAAATTTTTTTGAGTGGAATGGAAATCTTTATTTTTCAATTAAATATTCAAGATGTTAAACCTGTCTAATTTGATGATGCTATATAACTTTTCATTTTTCTATTAAAAAAAAATTCTCATGAAAACTGAGCACTTACTCGTCATAAATGTTTGAGGGGTAGATAATCAAAACCACTTGGACAAAAGGAAAAAAGAAAGAAGCATCTGTAAAGAAAGTAGGTTTTTGTTTGGTGATAGCCAAAAGGCAATCAAAAACTGTCTTTTTGAAAAGTATTTAAACGAGTGAATATTTGCACAATTATTGAAATGTATTTTTATTTATTTGATTGATCTTAACCTGTTTTTGCATAAAGGTCCTATCTCAAAGTTCCAGAACTTTGGACAGCGTACATTACACTACACTACAGTGTTCATCTGTGAAGTTGTTTCCCATGTCTCGCTGGATATTTTACAATAGTACAGGAAATCACTTCAGCAGGAAATAAACCACCTCATCTTTTTTTTTCTTTCTCTCTCTCTCTCTCTCTCTCTCTCTCTGGAGGACCTATTTCATGCCTGAAGTTTCCCGAACATTTAGATAGCATCCTCTGTATGCACACACCGAAGGAAATTGATCTTCTTGTGTGCTTAATCCTTCCTTTCTTAAGAAGTGCCATGCATGATACATGCTTTTTGGGTGTTCAAGTCTTTGATTTATGATTTGACTTGATAGAAGAATTCTCGCAGTAGACTGCCATTACTTTCCGCAGTAACCAAGGCTATAAGAGCCAGTCTCTCTTGCTTTTTTTTAACCCATTGCTGGGGAGAGAAAAAAAACCGATTCAAACCTTTCCTATTGCATGTAAAAATGTAACGTCTCAGCTCTCCGGTGTCTTATTTCAAGCTGTTATTCATTACATTACATCACGCATGTGCAAGCTTATATTACCTGTTATTCCCAAGCAATCACCCATCTAGGTACTGACCAAATTCGACGTTGCTTAACTTCGGGTATCAGATGAGAACCAGTGTTTCAATGCAATATAAACATGAATTAAAAGCAGCAACTGAATGTATAGTTTGTTTTTTTTTGTCCATGTGTGGAGAGGGGTGTTGCATGATTGCAAATTAATGTATATCTGTCTGTCTGAAGCTGACTCATATGGGGGGGGGAGGATGTAGGTTTATATTTACTTTATTACTTAATCTCTCTTAAAATAAGTAAGATTAACCTAATCCAACTACAATTATGGTGCACTCGGTGAGGATCAAATTCCTGAGATAATCTTACAATGCATAAATAACCAGCCTTTTCTGACCTGTTCTTTATCTCTTGGTTGCCTGTATGTCTGTATATTATCACACACACACACACACACAGTTTTTTTTTTCTTTAATTAAAAGCATAATGAGATGGAGACAAACTGAAATAAATATTCTCTGATCAGTGATGTTCTTCTGTTACATTGTAAACTCTTTCCTTCTTAGTCTTGTACTGAATAATGACAATAGAGGCTTACTTTTTAATGAATCATAGCCACTTGGGAAGTGGAAATTAATCATTATCACCATTGTTATATATTTTACGGATTTCTATATTCTTTTTTAAGCATGAGAATGTTTAGGAAATTTTAAACACTTTTGTTATATATATGAGCCTTTTTTCATATAATGATTTGAAGTACACTACCCTTATATCTCCCTATGAATTTCAGGCTTTGTAGTAAGGAGAGGTGTCATAGGTAATTAATTACTTTGTCCAAATGATTACAGTGTCACTTCTAAGCATGAGCACCTCAGATTTTCTCTAAATTGTACCCCAGCCTCTCCACATCCAGTTGTACTGTAAACAATGTTATCTCTATCTCTATCCTCACCACCCCCATATGCATATCAAACTATTTACTTATGGAGTGTTTTCACACTCTGAAGTTGAGTGAGAATAATTAAATCACAAAATTCTTATCCCAGATCTGTCAAGTTACCATACTTGTAAATCTTTTTTTTTCTTCTTTTACTCTTAAAAAACAAAACAAAAAAAAACAAACTCCTGAGAGTTTTTCATATTTTTTATTGAAAATAATGTAAGTTAAACATGTCTACCTTATTGTTTTGAAGATTATTTAAAATTTATTTGTTAGGTAATGTTAAATAAGATGTCTATATATAAAAATGTAGACTATAGCATTATACACATTTTTTCCAACTGACTGGACAGCAAGAGAACATCCAATCCTAGCATCAGGATTGAATAAAGGGTTCAGTTGGAAATTCCAAGAACATAAATAAGTAATGCAGCAAACAAAGGTCAGAGGGTACCAAGATTTGGATAACAGTTTATTAGGAATTGTCCCCACTATTATAATATCAAAAATGCAGATTAGATATGAACACATAAAATGTTTTTAAAAAAATTCCAATAAAATATAAAGTAAACAACCCTTAAGGGTGTATGTGAGACAAGCACACATCAAAGAAGGTAAAGTTCAATGCCATATTAAATGGCAGATGCCATTTAATATTTCTAAACAAATTCCCAGTGAAAAGTGATAGACCACAACTAAAATTTTTATATACTATCTGATGATTGCATGAAAATACATGAAACATTTGTTTACTGAGAATATATATATAAGTTCACCCTTTACAAGACCCAGGGATCCCTCAAGGTAGAGGGGTACATTAGCAGGCTATTTGTGCATATAGGATTGGAAGATAACAGTTAACCCTAGCCTTGAACAGGTTAAGATTGTAGTGATTGAGAAAACCTACTCTTGGGAGTTGGTTCCACAGGTTATTAGTTGACAGGAAGAATCTGCCTGAGTGAAACTTACTTCTCATCGATGGAATATGAAGGGAATGGTGGATGATTTGCTACTATGTAAGTGGCATGGCATGTTCTTGCCAATATTCATGAGAGGATTGCCATATCCCACCTGTAGGAGAGAGGTTGAAGGATGGAGAATAATTTGTCACCCACAAGGACTCACACGCTTTTGGACTTGATCAAGGCTGGAGAGTGAGGTCTGGGCAGCTCCCACCCAAATATGGCAGCAGTACTCCGGTTTTGGATTGATGTGGCTCTTGTAGTTAAATAGCAGGAGGAGTCCAGTGTTTACTGGCATGGTACAGGGAGCCAACCATTTTACACACACACACGCACAATGTTGATCTGAGGCAGAAATGTTAATCTATATGTAAATCCTTTTTAATGTGTGTGTGTGTGTGTGTATATATATCCACACCCTATATATATATAATCTATATAAGGAAAATATCTTACCTTGATAAAGTCCCTCAGAGGACTAAACATGTAATAACTTTTCCTTTTGTCTTTAATCATACTTTTCTTTTACAATATACTCAGAAATTTTTACACACACACACACACACACACATACATATATATATCACTTGTATGTAATATGTATATGATCTTTATATGAGGAAATAATTCTAAAATCAAAAACTCATTAAAAAAAAATAATTGTTTTAAAGAATACATGTAAAAGTAGCAATTAAATATTGCAAACAAGAATAAACTGAGTGGTTGATTGAGATCATTAAATGGTCATATAAACTTTTGACTGTGTTGTTGACCTATTTGCTTTGTATGTAACCAAGAAAAGTATCCCTAATTACTGCAAGAAAAATATCTTTGCTTTGGTCAATTTGACGTCTCTCTTGATTCACATCTGCTGAAATATTAAGTGGTGGATGTTAAAATTTAAACTATTTACAGGCAGACAGTTTTTGCTCATATGTTTATCTATGTGTACAGATTGCAACTTGTGTTATTCCAAATTATTTTGTTTATTCAGTTACTAAATAATATACTTTTCTGCCTTGGCGCAGAAAATAAATCTCCCCCCCCCCAAAAAAAAAATTAATGTTGAATTGAAATGAGTTAAAAATAAAGGGAAAAGTGACTAACAGATTAGTTTATAAATAGTACGTAAGAATTGGTAATTTGTTCTTGTTTCTATGGTAAAATCTTTTTTTAAATCCCATATTTATTCTGAGTGCAAAAGATTGATCTGTAATGAAATCCCATGATGAGAAATTTTAGATATGTACACAAGCTTTCAATGCTAAGTATATTATGCTGGAAAAATAGTTGTGTAAATGTTTTGCACATAGATGTCTTTTTATCATTAGGTTATGAATTTGTTGATGTAAATATGTCATGTCTTGGGATTGCGAACAAAGATTTGGTGGGAGGGGGTTCAATTTCTATTTCAACTCAAGTGGATCATGAGGCTTATAAAAGAGAGGCATGAACTTCAACAACTACAGGGATGGGTCAAGCAGCTTGTGTAATCCAATCTTGCAGAGCTGTCTATTGTTTTTTCAAATGTTTGCTTTTTTTTATACATGGTTGATGGAAATGGCCTGATAGCTCCTGTGCCTCCACACATGCCAATTATCTCCCTCATCTGTTTCTCACTGATGGAGGTTGTGTCCACAGGAGATGAAGGTCCTTTTCAAGTATTTCTTCTGTCTTTTCAGTGTAGCCTCATTTGCCTAGAAATCATTTTGCTGAATTAATTCCTGGAAGGGATTGGTTCTTCATCCTTGCCACCTGTCCAACCCACTGCAGTTGAACCTTCAGTAGCATCATTTTAACATTTATAGCCAGAGCTGAGTCTGCAACCTCAATGTTTGTGATAAAATCATTCCAATGTACTTTTAGAATTCTGCTGAAATCAATACTGATGTAACCATTTAAGTAAATATTGGTGGTGCAGGGATATAATTTAGAATTCAGCATCATATAACAGGATGGGCAACAAAATGGCTTTATAGACTTTCTTCCTCTAGACACATTTGTGTAGTTGACCAACAGCTTGATGATCATTGGTCAGTTATTTTTTCCCATTTTTCTACATTCTGGCATCAAAGGATGTGTCTGCCTTGGTAGAAGGAGAGTCTTGTTAAACTACTTCCAGCTTTTTCAGATTAACAGCAATGAAAGGCAGGTGATACTTTTGATTTGGTGCAGGTTGATGGAGAATGTCTTTTTAAGATTAACTTCTGTCTTCAGATGTCTTTTGTTGCAAAGCAGGATATCATCTGCTGAAACATGTTTCTGACTGACTTAGCAAATATATATATTCTTGTTATAACTCAAGCAATCTTCAGACTTTGTGCATATATAAGCTTAAAATTAAGAAACCAGTTTTGGAATTCAATTCTCTTTTTCTTTTTTTCTCTCTTTCTCTCCACCCCCCTCTCCCTCCCCAGCATTGCATTTTAATGCGTTTCCTTTGAATCTATCTTCAACATGTTTGATGAACAATGTTTTGCTTCTGGAAAGTGTAGTTTAATATTCTGCACTATTCACTGTGCCTTATTGTTGTGTTTTTAAGTATTTCAGGTATTTTGTCTGAAAGTAATTGAAAAACTGCAAGCGAGAAAAATAAAATTGAATAAGAAACATATGAATGACATATTTAATTATTTTGTACTTGTAAAATTGTTTGGTGTTAGCTCATTAAAGATTTGAATTTATTGTTTAGCCGTTGTTGAGGGAAATTTTACATAGCATGTAAGAATGGAATTTTATTTCTGAATGTTTTTATTGTAAACATTAAAATGAATGTGTGTGTGTGTTTTCAATATGCAGCACTGTACCAATTCCACAAAATATCAAATCAATAAGTGTTCCAATTTGAGAATTGATCAGAGCCCCCCCACCCCCTTGTGAAATGAACATGGGTCACTACAGTCAAACATGATATTTATCAATGGATGAATAAATGCCAAACTTCATTATTCATGTCTTCTTTGATTCAATTCCAATTGTGGCTAATTAAATTTTGTTAGATCAAGCATTGTCAGTCATTAATTTTTTACTAGTATTTACAGCTATTGTAATCTTTTAATTGCTTTTATCATCATTTGACTTGGGCTGTCAATCTACAGCAATGTGTGGACAGATAATATAAAGTGAAGATCTTGTAGCTCAACAATTCAAGCAGCTAGGTGTTCATTGGGTAAAAGAGGTGTGAATTTGAATCTCATTTAGAATTTAGCCATT